CATCAAAATCGGATCAAAATTGTGACCTCTATAGGGTCCACAACCTTGATATACCATATTTTTACGCTATTTGAGAACGAACGGCGGCCATTTTGTCTGTCAATTTTGGCCGATTTTCACGAAATTCGAACTCAGTCATCCTTAGGGTGTAACGGTGATATCATAATACGTTTTTTTAAATCTGATAAAAATTATGACTTCTATAGGGTCCACAAGCTAAAAACGCGATTTTTCGTACAAACAGGGGCCATAATTCAGGAAGTTACAGTCCGATATGGGCGAATATCTAAAGGAACTGAGATCATTGGGTTATAAACTTACATTTCAAGTTTCAACAAAATCCGATAAGAATTGTGACCTCTATAGGGTCCACAAGCTAAAAACGTGATTTTTCGTACAAACAGGGGCCATAATCCATGAAGTTTCGATCCGATACATGCCAATATCGAAAGCAGCCGAGATTTTTTTGGGATAAAGCTATATTTCAAGTTTCGTCAAAATCGGACAAGAATTGTGACCTGTAGAGAGTCCACAAACAAATTGTGCACGGACGGACGGACGGACAGGGGCGACGACAATATACGTCCACTCTAAGATCTCGGTTCCTTTCGATATTGGCATGTATCGGACTGTAACTTCATGGATTATGGCCCCTGACTGTACAAAAAATCACGTTTTTAGCATGTGAACACTGTAGATGTCACAATTTTTATACTCCCACATTTTCATGTGGACGTATATTGTCGTCGCCCCTGTCCGTCCGGACATCCGTTCACAATTCTTATCTGATTTTGACGAAACTTGACATATAGGTTTATCTCCAAAAGATCTCGGCTGCTTTCGATATTGGCATGTATCGGATCGAAACTTCATGGATTATGGCCCCTGTTTGTACGAAAAATCACGTTTTTAGCTTGTGGACCCTACAGAGGTCACAATTTTTATCCGATTTTGTTGAAACTTGAAATGTAAGTTTATAACCCAAAGATCTCGGTTTCTTTCGATATTCGCGCATATTGGACCGTAACTTCCTGAATTATGGCCCCTGATTGTACGAAAAATCGCGTTTTTAGCTTGTGGACCCTATAGAGGTCATAATTTTTATCCGATTTAAAAAAACATATTATTATATCACTGTTACACCCTAAGGACAGCCGAGTACGAATTTCGTGAAAATCGGCCCAAAATTGACAGACAAAATGGCCGCCGTTCGTTCTCAAATAGCGTACAAATACGGTATATCAAGGTTGTGGACCCAATAGAGGTCACAATTTTTATCGCGCATATCGGACCGTAACTTCCTGAATTATGGCCCCTGATTGTACGAAAAATCGTGTTTTTAGCTTGTGAACCCTATAGAGGTCATAATTTTTATCAGATTTCTCCTTACAGTATAAGGAATAGGCATGCAATGTTTCAAAATGATCTGTTAAGAATTGCGGCCTGTAGATGACAAACAAATAAATACAAGAAATGGGCGTGGCTGTCCCAGGGGGTCGGGCATGCACCAAAAACAACAGGGGTCATCCTTAGGGTATAGGGAATTCATACGAAATTTTTTCAAGACGATCGATTAAGAATTGTGGCCTGTAAGCAACACACAAAAAGAAAATGGGCGTGGCTCTGCCCCTGGGGGTTGGGCATGCACCCCAAACGATAGGGATTTTCCTTAGGGTACAAAGAATAAGTATGCAAAGTTTCAAGATGATACGTTAAAAAATGCGGCCTGTAGACGACAAACAAACAAATACAAGAAATAGGCGTGGCTCTGCCCCTGGGGGTTGGGCATGCACCCCAAACAATAGGAATGTTCCTTAGGGTACAAAGAATGCAAAGTTTCAAAATGAAAAGTTAAGAATTGCGTATATAGACGACAAACAAACAAATACAAGAAATGGGCGTTGTTCTGCCCCTGGGGATCGGGCATGCACCCAAAACAAAAGGGATCATCCATAGGGTATAAGGATTTCATACAACATTTTTTCAAGACGATAGATTAAGAATTGTGGGATGTAGGAGACACACAAAAAGAAAATGGGCGTGGCTCTGTCCCTGGGGGTTGGGCATGCACCCTTAGGTACAAGTTTCATTCATTGTGATACGTTAAGAAATGCGGCCTGTAGATGACAAAGAAATACAAAAAATGGGCGTGGCTCTGCGCCTGGGAGTCGGGCATGCACCAAAATCAATAGGGATCATTCTTAGGGTATAAGGAATAAGTATGTAAAGTTTAGAGATGATCACTTTATAATTGTGACCTGTAGGCGACACACACACAAACATACACCAAGACAGACAAGGGCGACGGCAATATACGTCCACATGTCCACATTATGAACGTGGACGTATAAAAAGCTAAGCACCCCCCATGAATTTATGCAATGCATAATAACAAAGTGCTTGTTAGAAATTAGTAACTTGCTTTAATAAATATGAAGTTAATCAGCAAAAACAACAATTGGTTCAAACAATATTTTATTTCTATTACATACAGAGGGGAATCTCTCACCCGTCTTCCAGGACCGGATTCGAAATGAAGTTAGCACACATATTCCTAGCGCCAATAAAAACCTAGATATAATTATCACAAAAATAATTGTTACATTTATATTAGAAAATAACATTTTAATACATATTAATGCAAAGTATATATGTAATAGTCCCCCCCCCCCCCCCCAAAAAAAAAAAATATACTTTTACCATAAACATACTAAAATATCAACACTAGGCTAACTGAGCAAGCAGAAAAAGAGTACGTCCACGCTGCATCAAAACGCACCAAAACCAGCTTTGGTTTGTATTTCACGGAGTCAAGGGATGAATAAACCACTAGAATACAAATATTCAGAAGCCTCCTATGCTGGCTTTTTGAGATATATTACCGTAAACTTACTAAATTGTGTTAGGGTAGGCTCACTGCACACGCAATAACTTCTAAACTAGCTTTGGTGGCTCCAAGATCTTTATTTCACCAAATCGACAGATGCATCAGGTATGAACATGCCAAATTTCATTAACTTTCTATGTTGGCGTATCGAGTTTTACTACTGCAAAGTTCCTAGCACCCGGATTCGAGGCAGCGTTGAAGGGTTCAATAAACAAGGGGTACGCTCAAGCTGCATCAAAAAGCATCCAAACCAGCTTTGGTGGCAAAATGTTTTTTGTTTCGCGGAATCAAGGGATGAATAAACTACTAGAATACAAAATTTCAGAAGCGTCCTATGTTGGCTTTTCGAGATATATCACCGTAAACATACTAAAAATATGGGGAATTCGTGTTAGGGTAGGCTCACTGCGCACACAATAACTTCTAAATTAGCTTTGGTGGCTTCAAGATCTTTATTTCACCAAATCGACAGATGGATAAAGTATGAACATTAAAGTGAATGAAATTTGACATGTTCATGCCTTGTCCATCTGTCGATTTGATGAAATAAAGATTTCAAAGCCACCAAAGCTACTTTATAAGTTATTGCGTGCGCGATGAGCCTACCCTTACCAGGTGATTCCCCCATTTTTAGTATGTTTACGGTAATATATCTCTAAAAGCCAGCATAGGAGGCTTCTTGATTTTTGTATTCTAGTTGTTTATTTATCCTTTGATTCCGTGAAACAAAAAACATTTTGCCACCAAAGCTGGTTTGGGTGCTTTTTGATGCAGCTTGTGCATACACCTTGTTTATGGAACCCTCCAACGCAGCCTTGAATCCGGGTGGTAGGAACTTTGCGGTGGTATAACTTGATACGCCAACATAGAAAGTTAATGAAATTTGGCATGTTCATACCTTATGCACCTGTCGATTTGGTGAAATAAAGATCTTGATGCCACCAAAACTAGTTTAGAAGTTATTGTGTTCACAGTGAGCCTACCCTAACACAATTTAGTATGTTTTTTGTAATATATCTCAAAAAGCCAGCTTCTGAATTTTTGTATTCTAGTAATTTATTTATCCCTTGACTCCCTGAAATACAAAACATTTTGCCACCAAAGCTGGTTTTGATGCAGCGTGGACGTACTCCTTTTCTGCTTGCTCAGCTACCCTAGTGTTCGATATTTTAGTATGTTTACGGTAAAAATATTAGTAAATACGAAGATCTTAAGTGCGAATTCTGATATGTTGAAAGTGAATTCCGAAGTTTATATGTTTTCAATGTGAATTCTGGTGATTACATGTGTTTTAAAGTAATTCAATATTAATATTAATGGAAAATATAAGTAAATAGGAAGATTTTACGGGCGAATTCTGATATCTTCATTTAAGTGAATCCCGGTGATTAGTCTACTCAACAGAGGGGATTATTTATCAATATATACTCTTCAAAAAAAGTAGGGGATATTTAAATGCAAATACCTATGCAGGATGTCATATGATAAATAGTCATGGACACTTGACATGCTTTGAGAGTATGTTCACAGATGAAGAACTTATCGCCCCAACAGAACCACTGAGAAACGTCGACGGCAACGTCAACCGACAACACTGCAAGAATTGGCCGTGGCACTGCAAGAGGAGTGGGTCAGATTGCCCCAAATCGTGATTGGACGGTTGATTAGGAGCATGGCACGACGAATTGCTGAATGTCTGAGGATTGGTGGAGCAATTACTCATTATTAAGACAAAAATCAAAAACGACCATTTTCACTTTTGACGGTGTATCTCTTTGCGAGTGAAATGGGGCCATCAGATAAGTCGCCCATATGAACTGTTTATGTTCATGTATAGGCAATTGGCCTGTTATTAATATACGATGGTTACCTCTAATAAAAACAGTAGTGCATTTCCGCAGTTTTGTATTGTTTCTGAATATCCCCTACTTTTTTGGAGGAGTATATATTTAAGGTTTATGGAAACCTTGTTGAAAATCGTTGGTCTTCCCCTTTAAACACTGTGTATAAATTTAAACCCAAAGGGAAATTAACTTTGGCCTCTGAAGTAGGACGGGGGCGACGACAATATACGACCACATTTTAATGTGGGCGTAAAAAAATAAACTTCGGAATGGTTGATAAACATGTGTATTGCAATATTTAGTATTTTCAATCTAATTTTGATGTAGATTGGTACGGTTTTAATCTTATTAAAGCTGAGAATCCAAATATCATCGTACTAAACGTCCATTTTATAGTAGCGCCCAGTGATAGAGCTTTATCCCTGAAATAAATTTTTTTATCATTCAAATATATTAATGAAAGCAGATGGGGACCCTTCGGGACTAAACCTTATACATACAGGTACGCCATGCATTGCAAAAGTTTTAATTCAAATACTTTCCATGCCACATATCATTTTTGTCAGTCTAGAAAAGCTCAATTCAAAAGTAACATATTTACTCGCGTGTCTTTTGAGATTAAAATGTATTCCAGTCGGTTTTGGTCTGTTATGTTTAATATCTGGAAAAAAGTTCTATAAATCCCTTTGAAAAAAAGCATGTTTGCTCTCTCCCACATATTGTTTCTGACATATTATAGGGACCAAGTTAATATGAAGACTGTTTCTAACATGGCACATTAAAACATTATGGCAGCTCTACCAATAAAACAATACCAAGTTTGGTTTTATTTGCTGTAGGCATCAATCCCGCATGACACATTATTGAAATAAATATACATGTAGGACCGACACTCCACTTGTTTGTCGATCCCTGGGTAGGGATGATCAGTCTATTAATACAAACGTGCTCTGTTCGACTGGTCAAATAATAAATCAAGCCATTTTGACTATCGACATTAACCCAAATAGAGGAGAAAGAACCCTATTAGAATGTTATTCAATAAGGACACTAAATGATGAAATTTGTTCGTGGAACTGTCACTCTTGCGTAGTAAGAACCAGGCTTGAATGGTTTTGATGAGTCTACTTGGTCCACTAAAGATTTTGCATTTGGGACATTCTGGTTGTCCTGTGATGTGACCACACAAATGAGGAAAGGAATATAAGGGCAATTTGAGGTACTTACTCACAGACCAGATTAATTTGAGGTTTGTCTGACAAGTGAGAGTAATTTGAGGAACTTACTGACAAAGTTTGCTGGCATATAAGGCCTCCCCACAATGACACAATACTGTGAAAATACATCTGTAATAATTAAAGGAAGAGAAAACATGAAATAAACAGAAGAAAAATATTCACAATCAAGGGATTGTTAACAGAAAAAACAAATTGTATGGGTTTAAAATCAATGTCATACCTCTAGATATGGACCGGAAGAGTAGGGAGGAGGTGTGGGGAATGATGGAAGTTAGAAATGCTTTGTTTAATTGCCTAAATTCAACATCTATTGTTTATTCTGAAATTCTTTATGCTAATAATTATGGCAAATTATTTCTTCTTTGGATGAAGATTTTGAAGTTTATGATAATTATAATATTTTCAAAGATATCACTAAAATTAAAAGCCATTGATTTATTCCATCCTTGTAGTGTGTTTGGCGATTATTGAATTATTGAGACCTAAATCTAAATGGGAGATAACATCTCCTACTGTCTGTTTTAACCCTTTCAGTCTCCATCATATCTGAGAATCCATTCTCACAGTGTAAGTTATACCCAATCTAGACAGTAAATTCCAACACTGCACAAAAGGTCCTTATATGATAAATTGAGGAGAACTTATATAGAAAAAAAGAAAATGACTGTATACAGTCTAAAATGCATTTCACCCAAACAACATATTGTCATATTATGACATGGTTTCAGACAACTTTATTGTTCTCCCTTAACCAACTAAACCTAAGAGTGATTTCAATTGTTAATTTGTTGACAAAATCAATAGAATCAGAAATTGCTATATCAATCTTCTGTGATAATTCAACAGTTTGAATTTTCTGGTAGGTAAGGGAATTTCATTTGTTTATATCAGACCCCATTCCAACACCTCTTGTGATTCAATTTGCTGACATGCTTCTTCCTACAATATGGGGCCATGGTAGTTCAGTGAGTAAGGCGCTAGCTCACTATCCAATAGGTCCGGGGTTCAATCCAAATGTTGGCTGAGAATGTTCCTGGGATTTTCCAGTATGGTTTCCCCTGGTCAGTGCTTCAGGACAGAGAGTCTGGCAAAGACTGTCTACTTTTTAGGATGGTGCCAAAAACCGAGGTACTGTATACTTGCTGGCATGCATGTAAAAGAACCCTTGACAGCTGGAATTTGACATGAGTAGAGGGTCCACAAGATAAAAACACGATTTAATAAATACTGCATACTGGTACCACACCTACATACTTACAGAAAATTGCAAGCCAATGGATGGGTTTTACCCATATATCTTCCAACTGTAGCCACAGGACCTAATATGGGTGGTATTCTATCAGGCGATATTGTTGATATCTATAAATAAAAAGAAAAGTTACCAGGTAACAAAATATATGCTCACAGCAATTAAAAAGCAGTTGCCATGCAAAATATTTTCTTATCCAGTGAATCGCAAATGATTAAAATATTGTGTGATGGCAAATGGGGTGTCAGGTGGGAACACATAGTCAATTCCTACAAGGGGAAATGGTTACAGATAAAAATTATTGTGTTGTGAATAATTATGACTGGAAGTATCAGTCTGATTTTCATGGAAATCGAACTCATCCAGTTTATGACCAATTAGTTTCATAAACTAGACAACTGATGTTAAACTAAACGGTAGCACAAACTGGGAGTTATTTGATGAATCTTGATGGTATTTAATACTTTCTGCATGGCAGTCTATTAACTGAATATGTGTATTAGATTATAGATGGTAATCTCAGTTTCTTTACTTTTTTCATCAAATCTGAATGATACCCGGTCCCTAGTGTCTAATTATGGTGTAAATATGAAAGTTTTTTTAAAATCAAATTTAGATACACCCACAGCAGCTAAATTGTCCAAGCGGGGCAAGCTGGGTGAAGTTTCAGAAAGATCCTATGGTTAGATTCTGAGATATAAGTTTGGCAGGAAAAACACACATTGGTACGTACGTCAGGTCACGCCTTGTCACGTCAACAATCAAGTTATACCATAAATTATTGAGTATAGTAAACATTCAATACCTATTAAAGTGGAATAAACCTGTCATTTTGAACTCTTAATAAAACCCGAAGTTATACTTCAAGATCGATCTTTTGATATTAATTGTTAGTAGATCTCAAGGTAATCATATATACAAAGGTCAAGGAACATTTAAAGGTTACATCACCAGATAGAGGATAAAAAGTCGAACAAACTTCAAAGTGAAACGGGAAGTAAACAAAGTGGATATTCAAAAACCGGCTGTCTAACAACTGTTGCCAATTGGAATAGGTTCAAAATGAAAAAGGTTTTGTAAATCGGAATCAAAATGGCGACTGTATATCGATTTGAAGTTTTTATTCTAAAATTCAATATGGCAGCCAAAGGGTTCAAAATGTTATAGAATAAATTCTCAGAAAATGAAAGATAATATTGGCGGCTAACACCAATTCATAGAATTGTTCTCAAATGGCTTAGTTGGTGTTTAGTCAATCAACACTATTTTATTTAATATCAGTGACAGAATGAAGGGTTATTTCACAATAGCAACAGGTTAAAAACTCATTATAAACTTATATTTCAAGTTTCATCAAAATCAAAAGAAAATTGTGACCTCTAGAGGGTCCACATTATTCATATACCTTATTTTTACGTTATTTGAGTAAGAGGGGCGGCCATTTTGTCTGTCAGTTTTGGTCCGATTTTTACGAAATTCGAATTCAACCATCCTCAGGGTGTAACGGTGATATATTCAAACGGTTTTTGAAATCGGATAAAAATTATGACTGCTATAGGGTCCACAAGCTAAAAACATGATTTTTCGTACAATTGAGGCCATAATTCAGGAAGTTACTATCTGATATGCGCGAATATCGAAAGGAACCAAGATCTTTGGGTTATAAACTTAAATTTCAAGTTTCAACAAAATCGGATAAGAATTGTGACCTGTAGAGTGTCCACAAACAATTCTGGACGCCCGGACGGACAGGGGCGAAGACAATATAATATGTCCACATGAAAATGTGGACGTATAAAAACGTAATTGATTGAATGTAAATCAGTTTATACACATTCATATTACATTATTATATGCATTGCGACCCATTTGTGTCAATTTCTAGGTCCCAAATATTAGCGGTTTAGCTTATTTAAGGTTCCAAAGAATAGAGCCTGACTCCCTTTAAAGGCATATTCCTGAAGCAATGCCCCGAATAATCCCTCTCTAGCGTTTGCTGTACTGAGACTGAAATCTTGGGTTTTTGACCGTCCAAACAAATCTCGCCTCAAGGGAAATTTCATGACTGACCTCTTAATAAAATCTCAGTGTTTGTCATTAGGCCTACTGATTCTAGTAAAATTGTACGCAATTATCAATACTCGCATCGGTAAATTGTGCTGTCGCTTAAGTTCGCTATGAACGAAAATCATTTGACTCAAATCTTCAATATAAGCCTCTGATATAAATTCTGTAAGCTTGTCTGTTTGTACTAACAATAATTACTACCTAGTTTGTTGAAACACAATATGCTACATGTATGGGGTTTTCCCTAAATCCAGGACAGTTGATTAAATGTATTAAAAGATGTTGGAAATATTGTATGTCTGCTGTGTGGTCCGACAGATGATAAACAGATTCCACGTGTGGTGATTATACTATGTTTATGTTTGTAGCTATTTTGAATATGCACTGGTTAATTGGGCATAATAAACTTTGTGTGTTATGATGTAATGTTGACGCGATTGTTAACCAGTCATAATTTGGAGTATAAATTTGCTGTGAGTCTGGCCGTGCTAATATCAATGAACAAAGTGTTAATTTTAAATACAAATTTTTAATTTTTTAATTTAAACAACTGCGGAATACGATTAATTCATATCCAAATACAAATGAGGTGTCATTTATGGGATTTGATAATATTAAAAAAATAAGTCATGCATGAACTCATTGATGCAAGCAACACTTCCTTTGAGCGATAATTCGACACAAAAAGGTAAATAAAAATGCAGTAAATACTTTTTGACTTATACTATCACAATTATCCTTACGTGGTAAATCGTAATACTATAGACTATTGCGCTTCATTTGCAAGAACTGTCACATCTTTTAATATCAACATTATTCATATGGACCATTCTGTAAATTGATGAAAACAAAACTGTCAAAATCTAAGCTGCCGTTGTCAAGTGTTGGTAAATGTTAGCAAAAAGGCTTGTTTCTAAATTTTGGATAGATTATTATTCATTTATGTTAGAATAATAATCATTTTGAGGGTCTGATATAGAATTTGTTACCTAGATATAATCTTTGAGGGGCAAATTCATTTCTATGGAGTACTATTTGAAACACATCATATTTTCCAATCAATCATTCAGCTGGACCTTTCCACATTCAATAGTGGACTATTAGTGTACAATCTAAGATTAAACAATGTGTTGAGTGTGAATAAATATTGAATAATATTTATAACAAATTATTTTACTGTAAAACTGTAAAAATGTTCAATGTTTAATTGTCAGTGCATCTTTATGCTTTCTGGCACAACATTTCAAGGGGTGAATTAAGAAGTAATACAAATGATAAAAATGTGTATTCATTATCATTATAAACATTGCTCAAAACCAAAAGCAGTTTCAAGGAAATTGTGATGCAGTATTTACAATTTTCCATACAGACCCGAAACATTTAATCCAAATGATGTTTATGATGGTACTCCATACAAAAAGTCTGAGAGTAGTCCCTTGAAAAAAATGGAGGATATTTGAAAAATAAAAGTTTAATTATATGAACGTGGTGTGCTAAAACAAAGATAGTTTTCAAAATTTGAAGTTTTGATGGATGTAGTGTATATATACTGAGCGCCATGGAAAACACATCACTTTTTTTCCCAAATATTTTATTACTAGGTGGTTTTGTATGTATAATATTATGCAATACTATGAACTATTGTTTCACACAATGCTCCCAAACGCAAAAAATATCGGCCCGTGTGCACAAAAAATAATTGCACGAAATGCACATGAAAAACCCAATATTCACGTGCAGCATTGTGTGTGAGCCCTTCAAAAGCATGTTTTTAACTTAATGTGCAGTACATGAACTGTGAGACGTCAATCTGTCATAATTTGTTGTTGGACGTGTGAAGGAATCGAGCTAGAGATGCCGAGACTTACTGAAAATCAACGGAATGAAGCCATGGGGATGTCCCGGGCTGGCATGTCTACATGTGCTATTGCCAGACACTTCAATTGTCATCAGTCCACTATTGTAAGGTTGGTGGAACGTGTTCGAGTTACTGGATCAACACGTGACGGTCAACGTCCTGGTCCACAACGCGTTACAACCCAGGCTCAAGACAGCTACATCCGGGTCACTCATCTGCTTGACAGATTCCGCCCAGCGACTCGAACAGGTGCAGCAGTCGCCGGGAGACAAGGACCAGTAAGTGCCAACAGCGTAAAACGTCGTCTAAGAGAAGTAGGACTCCGTGCACGACGACCTTATGTTGGAGCTATCCTCAGGGATCATCACCGTCAGCGGCGTTTGATACAGGCTCAAGGACACCAGACATGGAGAAGAGTAGACTGGCAAAGGGTGCTCTTCAGTGATGAGAGTCGCTTTCATCTTTATCACGCTGATGGCCGTCAACGTGTGTGGAGACGTCTTGGGGAACGTCTTGCAGACTGCTGCATCTTCAAAACAAATCGATGGGGTGGGGGAAGTGTAATGGTGTGGGGAGGCTTCACATTTCATCACCGGACCGCCCTACACATTTGCAAGGGTCGCGTTAATGCTGTAGCCTACCGTGATGATGTCTTGCAACCCATATTTGTTCCGATGTTTCGAGCGCACCCACAACTTCAGCACTTCCAACAGGATAATGCACGTCTCCATACCGCCCGTTTTAGTATGGACTACCTGGCTGCTAACAACATCAATGTCTTGGACTGGCCAGCCATGTCTCCGGACATGGCACCGATAGAACATGTCTGGGATGAGATTGGACGCTGTTTGTATCGGAGACCACAGATGCACACCATTTCTGCTTTAGAAGCTGCTCTTGTCCAAGAATGGAACAATTTGCCCCAGGCCTTCTTTCAAACATTGGTTAATTCCATGCGACGTCGCTGCACAGCGTGCGTAAGAGCCCGTGGAGGGCACACGCGCGACTGACATCTGTGTCGTACTTTTGACCCCTCTGACTTTGTACCGTTCATTACAGATTAAACATCCATAAATGTACAAATGTGTTGTTATTGATGTGTTCCCATTTGAATCTTGTTCACAATAAGAAGCAAAAGAAATAAGATATGTTTACAGGATCATTTTGTTATATGAAAAACTAAGT